CGACATGCGCACAAACACGCGCGAATAGATCATGCCGTCGCTATAGTAACCTCCTGAGTCTCTGAAAGCCCGCACCCCGGCATTCGACAAATATTTTATTTACGAGTTGCGATATTACGGTATATATACCGCGAGCGTCAATGAGGAAGGAACCTCTTCGAACATCGTTCCCATTTTTATTAAAGCTGGGATACTTGAAATACCGATAAAGGCAAAATTAAGAGGCGAAGTAATATGAAGCCTTGTGTGCTTGACCACAGAGAGAGAGAGAGAGAGAGAGAGAGAGAGAGAGAGAGAGAGAGAGAGAGAGAGAGAGAGGGAGAACATATTATAGATGTGCGCGCGTTTCAATATTGCATTATACAGATATAATTAATAATAAAATATTATTCCACCGCACTGTCATAATTGCGGCAAAAAGTACGAAGCAGAACCATCTGTTAAATATGAAATTACAAAGGACTGAGCTTGTCTGTCAAATAACCCTGTAATTAAGAACGCCGTTAAATATTCGATGGCCGCGATATTATCTCCCGAGTTTCTCTCTCGGGTGAGAGGCCGAGGTCAGGAAGAAAACGGGATAATGACGGGGATTCCTGTGGGGAATCGCACGTGCGAGATCCTCCATTAAAACAGCGAAGTATTCGACGAGAGGAAACGCGCGTAAAATCTCGCCATCGAGCGTTTCCGCGCGAGTCGCGAGAAGCGGCAGCTAATGCAATCGGCATCAGGACGAATGGCAGTCCGAGCGCGCATGCGAGCCAAGACGTCGTCGGAAGGAGCTTGATGATGCGAGGCGAACAGAAATCCTCGGAATCGCCAAGAGCGACGGCTTGGCACGGTTCCCTATATTGTTCCAATCGATCGGCCAGGCCTTTTAGGGGATGGTTACCCGCCTAAGTTTTCGAGAGGAGCCCATTAAAATCCCTCGTGGTATAGTGAGAACAGGCCAAATCCCACCGGAAAGGGCCAGAAACACGATTTCGTGAAAGATAAATAAGGATATTTTCATCCTTCCGCTCTTCCGCGTCGAGTATACACGTTTGTATCGTACACACACATTTTTGTATAGTTCTTTTACAATATAGACATGCGTATAATATTATATAATACGTAATAATATGTAATATATATATTACAATACATATATATATATATAATATATTATAATATATTACAATATATATATATATATATATAAAATATTATAATACATATAACATGTATATGCATATATATGTACAGGCTTATATGCACATGTGTGTGTTGTACGCGCTCATATTTCCGGGGGAATTGTTTTTCTCTAATTATGAGCCAAGTTATTAGTGCTTTGACATTCTTGGCTAGGACAAATCGATTCCAATTCGCAACAGTTGCAACATATACTGCAGTTACCGCTGCCCAGACGGATTTTAATGGCAAGTTCCCTCACAAGTCGATCTTCCTTTGACAGAACTCAGCGAGGAGAGAAAGAGAGAGAGAGAGAGAGAGAGAGAGAGAGAGAGAGAAAGGGGGGTTTTAATTACACGAGGACATTTAATATCGCAATGCTTTTGAAAAACGTGGCAAAAACATTTTAGGAGTGGCCTAATTTCTGAGAGGCGCCCTTTAAAGTCGCGCGCCTTTCGGACTCCTTCTCGCGTCGCTAGTTGTAAAGCGACGCACATTGTACCCGACGCGAATAAACACGCAATAAAATAAGACGGCTATAATATGCAAATAAAAAACTAGATACACGCGCGAAAAAAGGGCCGTTCTAAAGATAACGCGTGTAAAGATATCCCCCGACAGAGATACATACCCTGCGTCATCGGGACACCGACGGGAGAGCCATATTCATTCGCCGAACGCGGAAACGCTGACGTGATTTCCCGAGATGAACTCGCGGCGGGGAAATCGGCTCTGTTGCGATCGCAATAATTCACGGGCCGCGGTTGCGGCTCGTATAATCCTCTCCCCTGTCCTCTCCATCTTCCTGTATCGACACGCTCCTTTAGCGGGCGATATCAGGGTACAATCGACGGCCAGCTCGTAAATTTATTATGGCGAATCCCAGCGCCCGCATACGTAGCACGTCGGAACTCACGGCTCTCAACTTTAAGACACGATGACCGGTGATTGGCTCACCTCGTTAATCCGTTTACGGCGAATTCGGCCGACTGTTCGTGACGACAGGATCTCGCCTATATATCGGCGTGCCGATGACGTTTTGCAAATGAACAGTTGTGGTCTTGTTATTCTTACTTGTTGTGCTCCGTCGGATCTGCGCGTGACAGACGATTTACTCTCGGCGCCGAAATTTCGATGGTCTCAGATTTTTCACGCTTGTGCAGATGCGCGGAATCGATCGCTCGGAACTCTTTGGCCTTCTGCCTCTCGAGCGTTAAGCATCGGGCGGAAATCCCGTGAGAGTCTCGGGCATCGGGGAAAATTTCGACGCTAAACTAGATATAGATAAAAATTGGACGGCAACGGTAACGCGAAATTTACATCTGATATTCGATAAAAAATATACACGTATGATGTATTTCCTTTTATTTTATTATAACTTTCGCGGGACGTATGTACAAAATGTTTCATTTTGCTCTTTCTCTCTACAACGAAAAATCCTCCCTCGATATCTCGAGTGTTGATACTCCCGCGCTGATATTCCAAGATTTTAATGTAACTTTACGTGACTTGTTAATCCTCTCTCGTGCTCGAATATCTCACCATTTGCGAAATTTATTATCTTCGAGATTTGGAAAGGAAGCCTCACGGGAGAGCGAGAGAGAGAGAGAGAGAGAGAGAGAGAGAGAGAGAGAGAGAGAGAGAAATCCGGAGAGGCAAGCAACCGATGTCGGGATTGGCTCCTTTCATTCTTACGAGTCCTTAATCCCTTCCCAGGTTACATGGCGGAAAGGGGCTTTGCCCGGCCAGCGCTCTTGTTGTCGTCGTCGTCGTTCTTCCGGAAAGCAGCGCGTTATTGCCATCCACAATTCACATGGTCGGAAATCTCTTAAGCCGCTCTCACACACGCGCCCGCGCCGGATATATTATTTACACGTGCGCATGCAAGAATTATCAAAACTATCCTGCCGAGTGCGAACAACGTCGAAGGACGAGCCGGTAGAAATGTTAGCTCCGCTTCGACACCGCGACGATGTCTCTCGACGCTCCTTCTGCAACACGTATACTCGGATATATAACACGGAGCACAATTTCCCTCCAAGTATCACATTCAATTAGCCTCGCGTGAGTCAAGTTCGCGAGCGAGTTGACCGAACGAAATTCCCAGGTCGCTCGAGTTGCCGCGAGTGTAACTTAAATCGCCGAGAATAACACGGCGTCTCGATCGACGGGACTCGAACCGAGCCCCGAGCAGCGACCCCGACGACGACGACGACGACGACGTCGCTTCATGGGAATTAGCCTTCGTAAATTTCAGACGTCAGAAAGTCGCCTGTAAACTCGGACGGGTAAGATCGTAGGCGGATTTACGGCACGCGATAAAGCGCGCGCCATATTTCACACTGAAATTTTCGCGCGATCGCCGGGATTAAGTGACCATCGGGCGCCCTTTGGGTTCCCCTCGTCTCGATAGACCCGCTGATACTTTCGCCCATTTGCTGTCGGGCTCACTGCTCATTACTCCGTCTAATGAACTCTGCAGATTCGATATTCAGCGTATCGATGCTTCTTCCGTTCGACGCGACAGTTGCCCGACGCCGAAGAAAGGCCGAAGAATGAATACGGGAAATTCGGGAAATCGCAAAAAGCACGGCGATTTCTCTCAGCGAATTTCTTCGCAGAATGCCAAGTCGAACGGCGGGAGGAGCGGGGAGATTTTAGTTTTTTTCTTTCCTCCGCTTTTAAAGCGCAGAGCGTTCTTTACGTTCTTTTCGGCGCTTTTTACGAGCGCTGCAAACGGTTAGCGCCTTTTCTGACCACGTCGTGAATTTTAAGCTGTTAGCAAAAGCGCTGTGCTCGACTTTTACGATAGGGTAATATATAACTTTTTGCAGAAGCGCGTGAATGTTTCATTGTCTGAGGGACGGGGATAATTAACGCGCGGCAAAATCACGCTTCTCGGCCACGTCTGCGTTTAATTAATTCAGTTCGACATTAATTCGCCGATACATTATCGAATGCTCGATTGTTTACAGATCGAGAGGCGCGAGTATTTCTCAACCGCCCGGTTGTTTCGGTTATTATTATCTCCGTTTGTGAAGAGCAGTCAGTTACAATTTTCCGGGACACATCTTCGCATGAACGGCCGCACATTTAGCACATGTATTATCTGTCCGAGACAATAAGGAGAGCAAAACTGTGTACACTATATTATATGATTAATTAAAAGTTATCATACACCCTCTGTCCCAAAAATAACCGGAATGGCTTTAAAAAAAGATAAAAATAGTTAAGAAATCTTGACAAAAATCATTTTATTTATTCGAAATATTCTGCCTCAGCAGAAATACAACGATTTGCACGTTCAAGAAGTGCATCAAATGACTTTTTTATGTCGCTGATTGAAATGATGTTGAGGTTGCTCAGTCATTGACCGTTGAATGTCTTCTTGAATTGATGTAAAACGGTTTCCTTTCATCGCCAAATGCAGCTTAGGGAATAGAAAATAGTCGCAGGGTGCCAAATCGGGTGAATACGGGGGATGATGTTGAAGCAATAAAATTTGATTTTTAGTCAAAAAATCAGTGATGAATTGACGAGAACGATGAGAAGGTGCATTATCGTGCAACGATCGTCACCTTCGACCGAGATATCAAACTACTGTCACTCAAATGCGTCGTATCTTGGCTTCTAGTGAACGAGATGTCACGAAATGTTTACAGGTTATTAAGAAAGGTTGACACTTTCTAACTCAATCCCCCACCAACAGAAGGCGCCATTAATTTCCTTAAAATAGAGCTATTCCGGGCTTATTCTTGGGTGCAGAGGATGCATCGAAGTCGATGTGATTTCCCAAACAAGCAGGAACAAGGAGTGCTTCTGTGTTTCAGGCCTCGTTTTGGTCGACAGCACTGAAAACCCTGATCTCTGTGTCTACTGTGATACTGCTTGGCCTCATATTTGCTTACCATGCCTTAGAAGTTCAGGTACGTATAACTAACGAAGTGCACACGCACAACGCACACGCAGACGCATTAAAATAAAGTGGAGTACCTCGAAGTGTGCACCAGCGGCGCGCGACGAGAGTCTAGTACGGATTAAACAAGATACGAAAATCGCGCTGATTGCTCAGCGAGAAAATAAGAAAGCTATCTTTAGCCCGTTCGTTCGCACGATTGCCGCAGTTTTATCATTTTCGCGTACAGAGGATCGCTCGCCTCCGTGAAAGACATTCCGAGTTTCAGCGAGTATTTTTCCGTCCCGAGACATGTGGATTGTCGTCACCTACTGCCATTCTTATCGCGGACAGATTATTATTACAAATAACGCGCTGTATCACCGCCAACGCGTCGCTGTAACAATGGTCATTTGTCCGTTGTGAATTATCAGCTTAAATTATTACTGTAATTATGTATCGCGAAAATAACCACACCGTTATCTCCGTGTGACTTGTCGTGAAACGTACACACACATACAAATACGCGAATTAACGCTATAAATAAAATAAACAAACGTATGAAATCGGGAAACACAATTCAGGGCGGCGAGTCGTCCCGTCGTTCCGAGGGAGCCGAGCGCGACATTACGCCTCGGTGATCGCGGAAGGGGGAGGGGTTTAACAGCCGTCCATTGCACCGTCAAAATCGCGGGAAACCGACGGCAAGCTAATCGAAACGATATCGCAAGTAGCTTGGACAATTTCGGTAGTATGAGGCCGTGTGTCCCGGGGCGCGCCGGACTATTAATGCGCCGCTAATAAAAGGCCAATTAAGCTGCGCGTGATCAAATTTTATCTACAATTACTCGCGCACGATGTGACGCCATCGACTTCCGGGTTATTTATTTCACGCTACACACACAAGTGGATATATTAAAGGTGTCCCTATAAGTGATCAAATATTTATGATACCTTTATTCTTGTCAATTTTTGCTTAGCTTGTGCGGTTAATGTGCTATTCGAGTAAATAATTCAACCTTATATCGTTGATTAAAAACCTCTGGACGAAAGCTTAATATGTCGATATTAAATATATCGTATATAGACATGATACACTGGGGCTTCCTATAAGCAATCAAGTATTTATGAGATTTTTATTCTTATGACTTTCTACTTGAGCAATATACAGCGTATAAACAATATATTATTTAGTGCAATATTTGGACAAAGTTGCAGGGCACTGCCTCAAACTCCAACGTTGAAATTTCTCGTGGATTTGAAAGCAAAATATTAAGAATAATAACATATGCCCCTTGGCACATCACAAAAGTGAAATTATCTATCGCAACCTCTGAGGATTCTCTCGATTAAAAAAGTCAAAAAAACTGGCAAGAAACACCGGAACTAGAGAAAAAATCATCCGAATCTTCCTACATAACTACCCTTATGAAGGAAAGCAGTTTAGAGAAGATTAAAGAGACTAAAGAGAAAGCTACTCCGAAACTTGCCTAATTAATTAATAATCGATAAATATATACGCTACAGAGATATGTCAGAAGGAGCTAAGCACAAATATTACTTAATGTTCATAAATGAACAGATTGTATTAAAGATAAGCATTAAAAAGAATGGAGTCAAAGACTCAACTCATATCGCTAATAAAAGCCTACGGCGAGGAAGCCTTAACGTATTGATATTCAAAGCTTCGTTTATGCCATCAATTGCAAAATAAAAAAAATTATCTGTCCTTATTTTTAAAAATATTTTATTTTGAAGTATTTGATTACTCTCATGAAGCTAACATCACCTAACATACATTTCAAGTTTCCCCAGTTTAGAACGAAAAATCGTCGCGAAGTTCTCGCGACTTAAACGCGGATTATGAGTGATCCCGATGGTCTTAGCGATAATGTCGTCGGAGGAGAAACGACAACAATCTTGTGACAGCGGAGAGCCGGTAAGTGTTGACCGTAACATCTTCGGCGAGAGGAAGTCTCCGCTGGCTCTCGGCTCGCTTCCGGCCTGGCCGGAACTCCTCTTAATGAGATACCAATGGTTGGCAGCGAAGTGAGCCTCATGAAGCCCCACGAAAGAGCCCGAACGAACGCGCTTCAAGCGCCAACTCAAATATTAACGCTACGGCCATCTTTCACGTTGGAGGCTCTTTTATACGTGCGGGCTGATTCGCAAAGATACACTGTGTAACTTCGGTATTCGGTCCTTTCGGGCAACTCCGCTCCGTCGAGCGGATTCATATAAATGTGCACGATCGGATATCGTATGACAATGGAACCCGAGACATTTGAATCTCGAGAGAAAAAGACGATGCGTCGCGAATTCTTTCGGAATTGTCGGCAAGTACTACGATCTTTTAAGTCGAGCTCGTCGGGGGATCCACGATGAATTCGTGATGAATTTTATTTGGACATCTCGTGACGTACGAGCGAAGTTGGCAATTTTTCGGTAAACACGTCTCTTCGGCGAAGCTCGTTGTCTTAACTGGCGGATCAGCCGAGACTTCTCTGACTCGAGTGTTTTCATGCCGGGAGGAACGTCGAAGCCGATTATGAAGTGAAAAAGGAAAAAGACGCTAGCTGCCAATGTCCTTCGCATATCCCGAAGCGAATAATCCGGACTCAATGTGCCGGAAAAATCTCCTCGTCAAGCTTGCAGTCGTCCCACGATGCAATTCCGATGCGATATATCGAGGTCCCCGATATTGCCGCGGCCTCGCAACGCGACAGCCAAAATCGACGCGGCGGTCGATTTCCGCGATAGAAGCAAGTCCTGTTCGTCTATTTCTAGAGGTAAAAAAAAAAGGGAATTGTTTGGAGACTTTGCTTTTAATGGAATTTCGGGCGCGCGCGCGTGCGCGTTCGTTGTATGGATTTATCCATAAAAACGCCTTTTTCTTCTCGGAACAGCGAGTTCCTTCCTGAAATAAATATTCCTCTCCGCGCGCGCAGACTGCAGGCTCCGATCTTACTTTAATAGGAAATTCCAGAATCGTCAAGTTGGATTGTCAAACTATTGGATATACTTTAGCGGCAAATGGGAAAACGAATTTACAGTTGACTGTTGATCGAGGAAGCTGACTATTATGTGCTGTGAATAACAAATATATCTCGCAGAAGAGAGCAGAGCCTCGAATCAAGTCACTGGCACGAAAAGACCTGATCAGACCGAACGATAAGGGCAATCTATTATCTGTCATCTCGAGAGATCGTAGCTTGTTATATAATATCAACCCGAGAGAGTTAAGGTCCGTCGAGAGAGAGAGAGAGAGAGAGAGAGAGAGAGTTCCTCGTTTTTTGCTCTCTTCATTCCACTCTTAAAGCGAAGCATCGGTATCGATGATTGGATATATTGCCGGCCAAGTGTAGAACGATGACCGTTCCGGCTACTCCAAGTTGGCTTGCGCAACCTTGCGGCAACAACAGGCTGGCTTGGAGTCTAATGGCTCGTTGACCTTTCGGCACCTGTTGATTGTCGTTTATCAACGATTTGCATATCCAGATTTGCTAGGATTCACTTGGCTCTGCGGAGCTAAGGAGTTTCCTTTGGGAGGCATCGGCCCTTGATCGATGTCGCTCGCACAGCTTCCTGATCTAGCTTTTCTTCTCTTCCCGTTGCCTCTTATTCTCTGCACACTTGGCACAAGCCGTTGACCCGCTCATATTTCTGTAATGAAGTTATCATAGCGCGCTGATAGATGAGACCTCCGATACCGCGAGAACATCCCTCATGTCCTAGATACGAATGATGAATCGATTTCATGAAACTCCACCACTTCCCCCATCGGCGAAATCTCCAATTTACGAGCGTTCGACTGACGATCATGGCTTTTTTAATGGCTCCTTAAAGAATAACGAATAAGGTGAAAAATCGTTGGCTATGATCATACGTCGATGGCAAGAAAAAAATTAATGAATCGCACCTGAAGAACCGTGTCGTAAATCCAGCCCACGTTATCGGATATTCGACGAAAGTTATCCAAGTTATATCCTGTATCTTCAAAATTCAGAAATCTGCGGTATTAGCTATTCGTTTTAATAAGCAATCTGCGAAGAAATCGCGAATGCATGATATCAAGGCTCCTAAATTTGTCGATTGCCGCAAAAGCCAAAAGTTATACAGCATGCAGGTCATGGCTTCTCGAATCAACACGTATGTTGAATTTGCATGCGTCACCGATCGACGTTCCATCCTCGATCTCTTTAAACGCGTACAACGCGCATTCTGCGGCACTTCTGCCGCGATCGATGCCTGATATCGCGTATTCGTCCTTTCACGGTTTCCCGATACGATGCAGTCCTCTGTCTCCTCGTTATACGAATCTCCATGTTTCCCGGATTATTCCCCCAGATAAATGGACTCCTATCGCATTATGCTAATCTATTCAGTCCGCTGGCGGGTCGCATCTTTCGCGCCAGGTGAAAAATATGAGCTGCAAAGTATCCGCGATATATCAGATGTGAGATATCGCCGCGATGTAAGAGGTTTCGCGCGCTATGATAGATGCATCGTGTTCGGCTCGGGGAATCGCAACAATGAGACAACCTCATTGTTAAAACACGGCCTCTAGTGGAACTTTAAAAAGCACCAGATGCGACCGCGCTTGTATCTTGCCATCTTGCAGCGCAAAATGCGATGCGATATCGCGAGTCTAAATAATTTCCCGAAAAGGGAATTTCTAACAGCGAGAATCCTACGACGCGCAGAAAATCCGCAGTTCGAGCCAATGAGATCCCCGATATTGAGAGTCCTGCTACAGATTTGCTGCAGATTTGCAAAATTAACGAGCAATTCAGGATCCACGAGGTGTGAGCAGCGTGTAGCATGAAAAGCGAGACACGGAAACGGAATTCATGGAGCAAAAGACAAAAAGAATCCGCATTGCTGAAGTATTCATGGCGCTGAAGATGTGTAATGCCAAAAGTCCACTCTGCGTAAATCACACGCCTCGAGCGGCACGTGTCGCGGTGTGTAGGACCCTTTAAGCGCGAGGTGTTTTAGGTCCGGAAGGATCGTTAAGGATGATTTGTTGCCAGGATGACAGCGGCAGTGGTGGTATACGGTTACAACGACGCGCGGTTCTCTCTTTCTCTCTCTCTCTCTCTCTCTCTCTCTCTCTCTCTCTCTCTCTCTCTGTCTCTTTCTCTCTCGCTCGCGCGCGCGAAATAGACGGCGATAAACAACGAGTACGTGTTGCATCGTTTTAATTAAGTTATGGCAAAGCGGTTGGTATTCATATTAATCGGCTGGGCTCAAAGAGTGAGCTTTCATATCGGCATACGTGAGCTCATTTCTGTCGATTGGGTAATTGGCAATATCACGTGCAATCGATATCGCGCACTGGCATACCTAAAAATTGCTTTGAACGCGTCCTGCGTATGATAATGGGATGGCTCGACATGATTAATTTACTCGTTTATTTATTCGCTGAGCAATCGTGCGAAATGGTCATGCATAAAGAGACACATCGTAATGATATTCAGGCTCGATGAGAATCTGAACGATTAATAATACTTCTCGATTAGCCGGACAATATTGCACGTGTTAATTCCCTGCGAGGTATATGGAGAAAAGAGATTCTAAAAATACAGCCAAAGGTAACGCAGGCGTTCGTTAAGACGTTGAACTTTGGGCTAATTTATCGAGCGATATAGCCCGACAGCGCTGCCCTGATAGTCCGCGTATTTTTTCAAGTATATTTCGCTAAGTTATCGTCCTCGCGAGCCGCGTGCAGATAACGTGCAGGAAACATGTCCTCGACGCACCATGATGAACACTCGTGAACTTTTATGTTTTGTGGGCTGACAGTTGTTCATGATCGATAACTGCGCGGACGACTGGCGGATCGCGATGACCTGGCAGCGGATCGCGCAGATCTCGTTGGAGCTGGTGATCTGCGCGATCCACCCGATTCCGGGCGAGTACTACTTCCTGTGGACGACCAAGCTGGCGAACAAAAACGGCGACATCGGCTCCAAGTGGGTGCCGTATGACGTGACCCTCTCGTTGCCGATGTTCCTCAGGCTCTACCTCATCTGCCGAGTGATGCTGCTGCACTCGAAGCTCTTTACGGACGCGTCGTCGCGCAGTATAGGAGCCTTGAATCGCATCAACTTCAACACCAGGTTCGTCCTCAAGACCCTGATGACCATCTGCCCCGGCACGGTACTGCTGGTCTTCATGGTCTCCCTGTGGATCATCGCCTCGTGGACGCTGCGACAGTGCGAGAGGTAAAAGCCCGGCTCGACATCACCTATTTTTATCTTAAACAGACTTAGGATTATCAACACCTTTCGACGACCGAGCATTTCGATCGCGCTTCGCGATGAAATATTAAATTACATTTCCGGCCAGAGGATTATCGTTCGCTATGTATATTCTATTCAGCATCAGAATTTGATTTCTCTTCAACGATGTATCTAGCGAGCAATATAATTCTGTAATTAACGACGGCATTGCGACTATCGTTGGACTTATCTTTCTCAAGCTCTCCCCGTCTCTTTCTTTATTTATCCGCCGAAGAAGCGCAACGGCAACTGTTCCATTTCGTCCACGTGAGACATTACCTGCGGCAGGAAGCAGTGACACGCGCATTTCGGAATTATACACAGTTCAATGGACACGGCTTATTTGCGTGCGTTCCAAACGATGATTGATCTACGACGTAATGGCACGTCCGTCCGTCCGTCCCCGTCCGTCGCGTCGTAATCATAAATCTCGGCGTCCTCGCTGGCGGGACAAGTCCGATTGAGGTCGCCGTTGGCGAAGCCGCGGGATTTAGTGGATTCTGGAGCTGATAATTAAATTCTCCCGTAAATAGTCGCGTCGATTTCGGGAATAATCAATCTTGCCTGGGTAATATCGCGAAGCGCTGCTTGGAGGATTCCAGCAGCGCCAGGTAGCTCGACGAAGGAGAGAATCCTTCCTCTATCCGCCGCCTCGATAAAACCTCCGGTTCTCCTTAATGGATGAGCTCTCTTCCACCCACGTTCTTAACAGAAATATTTATCACTCGGAAAATGTTGATCTCTCTTGCTGGCTTCAGCATCCTGCGTGAAAGTCCTTGATGAGCAAGCCCACGAGCGATCCTTAGCCGTGGGAATAGCGACGGATTGTTTCACTGTTATCCGATCCGAAGGGCGATCATTGAAAGCGGCTTTCGTGTTTGATATATCACGCATCCCACCTCTTTTACACTTGCCTCCCTCCTCTCATTTTTCCGATAGAGCAAATTATGATAATATTTCCGATAATGTTACAAGCATTCAGCATTCCGACGTATTTTCATGTCGGGTGTCACATGAACACGCGAGTATCGCGAATGTGTCGACGTTCCTTGCGAAAAATTCTGTTTCTACAAACGTCGTTTGCTTACGAGGAAGGCTTCAATTTTTTAACATCGTGATTTAGTTGCCGACGTTTAATTTGATCAAATAAAACGCTACGCGCAGGCACGTACGTGGAACATCAATATTTATGATACGGACTCTCTCTCTCTCTCTCTCTCCCTCTCTCTCTCTCTCTCTCTCTCTCTCTCTCTTTTCTTGTCACGAGCGCTCTCCGTGAGTCAGAGAAACTTTGAATTTCGTTCAGAAAGAGATACCAAGCGCGGCTTCTCTCCCAACGGTACTCTCAGTCGCATCGAGCGAACTTTAAATACCGCTCATCCGATAAATTGGAAATTGCACCGTGATCAACCGTCTTTGTCGGTGTGCGCCTCTGCCGTCTGTTAATCACGTCGCGTATTGCGCGAAGCGGCACTTTTTTCCTCTTTCCTGAAAGTTTATTTCGCGAGATAAATCTACCGTAGACACGAATGTCACGAATTACCGCGACAACAATGCCGCGATTAAATAACAGGCGTGTTATTAAATAACGTCGCGCGTGTTATTCATCAATAACGCGCGCGCACCGCCCGGGAGAATCGGCGGCGGTTTCTGCACTCGCGTCCCGAATCTGGTCCCGTTTTTCAGAATTAACAAATCAATTCAATAATTCGGATCGCACACGCCCGCGAACGGCGATCGTGCCCGAGGCCAGTTTTACGCACGGATTATCGGACCTCGAATTATCGCGAAATTTTAACGATATTTTATTCATCCCGATGTACGTCCGCATGCGGCAGCGTGAATTTCCGCCGCGATAACGCAATTTTCACGGAACGCAGCCGGCGATCAATCATGCAATCAACGTTACTATGAGAATAATACCGTTCCACGGTAGCGCTACTGGACGGGGAAGCGTAGCGTCAAGTGTGGATGATCAATTTCGTAGGAGAAACGAGAGAGAGAGAGAGAGAAAGAGAGAGAGAGAGAGAGGAAGAGAGAGAGACTATCGCGGTTCATTTCGTCGAAACAACTCGTTTCCTCGTGCCTCGCCTTCGTCATTTCGAGAGACTGTTATTGTTATCGTGCGCACTGTTAAACCTGCATTACTATCCATATTTTTTTTATGCTCTCACGTGGGGAAGGAGCATTATAACGAACACATCAGGCTCCTAATATCAGCGATTTAGCGCTTTAAGCGCGACTCAGTTAACGGTTACGATTCGGTCGGTCGGGCGGGGCGATAACACCGAGCAGTTGGGTCGACTCGCAGATATCGTCCGGAGTCCGGAACTTTTCATGGGCCGTAAAAGAGTCGCGCTAAGGCGGAAACATGTAACATCGGCCTGGCTCGTTAAAACACTTTACGACGCGGATTAGAGCCAGTGTGCCGTCCACCTCGTCCCAACCTCCTTCGCGTCCCAATAATGAATCTCGCGGAGGCGCATTATGCTGTCTTTCACTCTATAACTTACCGTAGTCACCCCAATGCTCGCTCATACCCCCGGGCGAAGGGATGAATACTGGCCGTGGTGAAACGGATATATCGAACCACCGAGAAAAAAGTCACGACTGCTGAAACTTCCCTTTCCGGCAAGCGGCGCGGCCTCCTCTTATCGGAAAGGTCGGCAAGTTATCCGGTATGGAGAGAACGGTTCTCTCCATCGTATATTTTGAGCTCAAATAATTGTGCCCCGCAAGTGTGTCTCTATCGCGCGCACGCCTCGCGGTGACTCGAGGAAATCTGACCACCACTTTGGATAATTTTATTACTTTTCTAGTGGCAGAAAGATTAAAACAACCAAAGCAAGGGGGAATTACTTCAACTTCAATCTTTTTTGTCTCCAGACCGACTAGAATATTTCATTCGTAAAGAAACCTTGAGAAACCTAAGCCCGTGAATCTTTAAGTATAGAGACCGGTACTCTCTGACTAACGAAATGTGCCAGAGACGAAAAAGAGATCCAAGACGAAAGTCTGAAACAAAGTCTGAGAGGATGTCGCATCAGCGTACGCGTTGCTTGCTTGCTCGTCGAAATAATCCAGGCGTCACTTTGCCGTGACAGGTACCATGACGAGGAACACGCAAATCTCCTCAACGCCATGTGGCTCATCGCCATCACGTTCCTGAGCGTCGGTTTCGGCGACATCGTGCCCAACACATACTGCGGTCGAGGTATTGCCGTCTCCACCGGAATGATGGTAAGGGCAGGACGTAAATTGGCAGCAAGTCGCGGAAGTTCTCGCCACCTCGCAAATTACTTCGTATCATCCGGGACCATCGTGGTGGCGTACCTTCCACGCTCACTTCGCCGCTCCACCGGCCACCGATCATCACCCTGACCAGAATCGCCGAAAATAGCCGGCGAAGTTGCTACCGGTCGAGTGGATCGTTAATCCCCGCCGAAATCAAGTCTGGTCTAGCGAACTATAAATCGCGTAGTGCACGCTCGCCCGCCTCCGCCGCTTCTAACGCGCGCTTTAGCGCGACAGAATCTGGGTTCCGCAAACATGTAACTCGGTGTAACTCGCGTTAAATGGTACGCCGCATACCGGCATCGGCACCGTGGAAGCTTCATTACGACCGGCGCGCATGGGAACCATATAATGGACCGAGCGCGTCGCGATCGATCGGCTCGTTCGACCGTTGCAAAACGCCCGCTGTGATTTACACCGTTGCATTCGGCCGCTCTCGCCGCAGTCATTATACGGCCCGCTTGTAATTAAACGCGGCGAAGGACACGATCAACGCCGTGTCCATCCTCTCACCCTCGGGAATGCCCCCGGGTCGTTCCTTATTGTTATCGCACTCTCCCGTTTCCCGTTCTTCCCCTTCCCCCTCCCCTCCCCTCTCCCCCTCCCTCCCCGCGCGCCCGTCCGAACAACTCCCAGCCATTCCCACGTTAACCCACGTTAGATTTGTAACTATCGCCGAGCTTTAACCGGCACGGCCGGCTCCAACGTTGCGGGCTAATTCCTCGTAAACTTCCGCCGCCGGAGAACGGCTGTTGTTTCCGGAAGTCCACTTCCGATCACAATTCACAATAGATTTCGGAATCCCGCCCCTCCCCCTCTCGCCAGTCCCTTTCATTTGTGAGATTTCCTCTCTCTCTCTCTCTCTCTCTCTCTCTCTCGCGCCGCGCTCCTCCCCCTATCTCGCTCTCGCTATCTCGCTGTTTCACATGCACTCACGCGCACACAACGCTTCTCGTAAATGGCGCGAAATTGCCCGCTCTCTGTCTGGGATTCTGGCTATTAATTCGGCACGGCGAATGCGAAACGGCCCGATAGCAGTCCTGTTTTCCAGCGTCGCAGGCGTCGTGCTCCCCCCGATGAAATAGTTAGCGGGATAAATAATGCAAATCGCTCGATCGCCATCGGCGATGCAGAGGCTCTGCCTCGCAGCGCTTCGCGGCGGAAAATCCTCATTACTTCCAGTCCGATGTTACATAATTACGGATTAGGCAAAAATATCGCCACCTGTTCGACGGTGATTACAATACGCCACTACAAATCGTGATTTCGTAATTTGTTCAGGGCGCCGGATGCACCGCTCTGTTGGTGGCGGTCGTCTCCAGAAAGCTCGAGCTTACGCGGGCGGAGAAACACGTGCACAACTTCATGATGGACACACAATTAACGAAGAGGGTAAGATGTGCCAATGTGGCAATGTGCAAAAGACAAGCCGTAAAACACCTGTATACTTCAGTACAGTAACGTGAATTTTAGCGGCACGAGAAATCCTCGTAGGACATCAAAAATCCTTGTATTGCATTTAATTTATTTGAATTCTCTTTAACCGCGTTTACATCGCACTCTCGATATCTGTATATTCAGCGCTTTTAAACATGAATAATGAAGGACTAGGATCGTCTGCCACGAATGTGAAACTATCTTTTTTGAACATTCATTCAGCTCGCAAAGTCGCTCAAGTGTCGCGCGAGAGATCCGTCTGTAAGTTCTTGGTTCGTGAATATTTTAGCGAAAAATTTCACTAACAGAATACGGCACTTCGGTCATCGTAAAATCGTTAAAGTAATCCGACGCACAGAGAATTATACGGAATTCATGTGATATTTGAGCAATAATTAAGTAATAATTTAAATAACGTTTCTGTCTTGTCTGTATATAAATATAATCTTAATTCGATAATTCGTGTCAAGTGAAGTTAAAGAAATATCACGCGAATATTGGGGGGAGTTACGTTTTGTTCTTTTTATAATAATGAACTACGGTACGTTCTTTGTACATTGTTTGATCTATCGAAGTTTCTAAAACAAATAGGGTAACTTTTAATAATATGCATAGCAGATACGTTTCTAGAACGGAACGACGAGTTGTGAAAGCAGTCATAGAAGGAGAAACTATGTTACTCTATATTCTCGAGCGAAATTCTCATTCGATTTTGGGATGATATTTGAAACGCATTCTGCATGAAAGAGAAAAAGAAATAAATTGGTGGCTCCTTGTAATTAGACAACTGCTCAGTAGAATTTACATCTACAAGACCTGTAAGAAACCTGAATTCGAAGTCTGTTTAAATTCAAAGAACGCGGTTTTGATATCTTTGAGTTCCTATCGCGACATTTGTAGTTGCGATCGCGACGAAAGTCCATGGATTATGATTATTTGAACTTCAGAAGCGCCAAATTTCTTAAATAAAGAGAATTATAGGGGTCGTGAATATAATTGCAAGGAAGCATTCGAAATTATGCTCACCGCGGGTATCCCGTAAGAATCAGAAAAACGAATTAAGGACGAATGAGAGCATGATGGATATCACTCTCTATGTATATAGAGCAATGTAATTTTCCGGCTGAGCCACGTAATAAGAAAGTATCCCACTGCGAGTAAGGTTGCCTCGGAAATAAGCAGACCTGTACGAAGTCGCTTGATAAAGTCGCTGTGACCTTTAGGAAGAAGGATTTTCTTTCGTCGGTAATCTAAATTCTTGACTTTGATATCGTAGTACTTAAAATTCAGAAGCGGAACTTACGCAAGGAGCATTCAAAAACGTAAGCATTCGAAAGTCTCTCGTGTAATCGCTGGGTTCCGAGAATTCGCGCGCACAAGCAGAATCAAAAATTAGAAAATTATGGATTCCAGAAACTAAAAATTTCTAGATCAGTTATCCAGATATTCCAGCAATATTATTAAATATTAAAAAGCCTGACGAGACACAAATTTCGATCCAACGCTTGAAGAATTTGACGGGTCTTAGGAATTTTAAACAAATATTTTCAAACTCAAAAGTATTAGAAAATTTAAGATACTATACAAACGTGGTAAAATCGACAAAATGAAAGTGAAATAAATATTTGTAAGCTTAGAAACCCCCAAGAATGAGAAAATTCGTAAATAAGCTAAATCTGTGGTTTAAACGTTCCAGCCTTTGAAAGTTGATAGATTTCAAAGTTTTACAAATCTAAAAGTCTGTCGAAAAGTTCAAGGACTTGGATATTCAAGCCTTTCTATTAGTTCTAGATTAGACGAATAAGAAAAAACGCCTGCCGGAGTAAAGAATGTTATCTTCCGCCCAGGCAATGGACCGAAACTTGGGAAGTCGGCTAATGTGTCCTTGTCATTTTAGCCTTTATCGCTGTGAAAATAGCATGGCATCAATCGATCAATCCCACCAAACTTGTAAAAAGAAAGATTCGAAAGGCACTTCGAAGTAAATCGTAAAGCGATAATAGAACGACTGCTAGTAACGACCCGCGAGTGCTTTCCGCGGAAATATCGCGCGGAAGATTTCGGTGACACTTCAACAAAATTTCGTAACAACAATAGGTGCCATAATTCGCTGTCGCATTTCATTGACCTTAGATTCCAAGCTGAAAAGTTGGACACGTTTGCGATTGGAACTTTAGGAAAGCATTACAAACTGAAAGTAGAAAAATCCAGGTACATAGATCTTCACACTACACAGGATGTAGAAAAAATGAAGATGCAATGATAGTTTAACTTTGAAGAGCGAAACAAGAAATTACGAACCATTAGGTCCGAAAAATTCAAAAATCGTACAGAATTTAGGCAAATTGTAGATATTTGCCGTATATATATGTCATAACAACTTCTAAAATATTCTAGATATTCCAACACATGTTTGCAACATTCTAAAAACACATGTTGCAAAACTTCGAAATATTTCGAAATATTCCACGCGATTTAGCATAGAGATTCTTCCTATTGCTGCGCTCGGTAAGCTATGCATAAGTACGACCGCTTCTCTCTCTCTCCATTCTTGGATCGAAGCCTTCAACCACATACCTACTGAAATAATTATTAGCCAACGTTATTTATAAACCTTGCAAATATCAAGGAGTGGTAACACAGAGCTATACGCGTGGCCGTATCGACGAGTCTTTTTACGCCGCTTTAACCCTCGGATGCATATCGCTTTTTTCACGTCATTGTGTAAGCGGAATCGATCTGATCCCATCAGTCGTAACAGAACAAGTGTCAACTCTTTCGAAACATTTTTCTCTGCTCACGTAAGATTTAAAAGCTAAATACGCTCTTTCAAAAAGCCTTGATTATATTTAAAAAGAGTCTTTCTTCAAATAATGTTTGACAGTTGCAATAATTCTAACATAAATCGTTTCTCGAGTATCCAAATATCTGTCTGTCTGACCCTCAAATTTGTGGGTACTGAAGAAAATATTTAGATATGATCCGAAATAACTCACACACCTAGGAAATACGAAGTAAAAAATATCGCGATAATATCCGAATATTGTCTGTTATTTTTAATTTCTGTTTGGCGATTGATCTCGCGTTAAGTTTCTCTTACTTCTCTAAGATACACTACTAACCGCGATGCTTGACTAATCGGATAAATTATACGATTCGTAGATATTATTATCTTGAAAGAAACCAAGAAATTAAATGTCCAGGTAATACCTGAATACTTAGGTATCCAAGTCAGGCATCCAGACAGCGCAGATGCAAAGTAGGATCGAATGATCTTGTGTAATGACAACGAAGCATTCAGCTTCACCCTTCACGACAAATATGCGGTCTTAAAAGTGTTATTAAGTAAATTCGAAACGTGAGCATAGTGTAGATTACAGAAATACGGTTTTACGGTGTATTCAATTCGAAGAAAGTTACGGTTGGCGGGGCTACAGTGACGACGACAACTCGCTCTGTTTCAGTTGAAGAACGCCGCAGCAAACGTGTTGCGGGAAACGTGGCTGATTTACAAGCACACCCGCTTGGTGAAGCGCGTCAATCCCGGACGCGTGCGGACCCATCAGCGGAAATTCCTATTGGCTATATACGCGTAAGTCGATACTACCTCCGGCCCCGATTAGAACCCCCGAGCATCGTAGTAGCCTAGCACGTAATTGCGCTCTATCGTCGAACTTTCAGACTCAGGAAGGTGAAAATGGATCAGCGTAAATTGATGGACAACGCCAACACTATAACGGATATGGCCAAGGTGAGAATTGGCGCTAACGAGAAGAACCACTCTCCCGCTTGCAAATCCCGATAGAATATCGCAACAGCGAGTCAAGGGGATAGGCTGTTGAACAGGATTACGATTAAAAGCTTCGCCCGCTGCCGAGGCAGCGAGTAGCTTTTCCACAAATAAATACTTTCTACGAACTCCTTTTTACCGTGAAAAAGGATTAAATTCCCAAGCATCAGCGTAGCGATAGCGTTCGGTATCCATTCTAACAACTTCCCACGCTTTCGTGGAAACGCTCGCGGGAGACAAAAATCTATAAATCCGCAAACGCAACACACACGCTCGTCGTGATAAACGAAAAACAAGAAAAGAAAGAAAAAAGACCCAACCCCACAATCAATGACAAGATCGCCTCGATTACTGTGGTCGTTGCTGACGGTTGTGCTATCTGATCCACTTCGACAGACGCAGAACACCGTCTACGAGATTGTCTCGGACATGAGCACGCGACAAGACGCGCTGGAGGAGCGTCTAGAGGGTGTGGAGAGCCGTCTGGCCGGCCTAGATGAGAAGCTGACCTCGTTGCAGGGTCAGCTGGAGCTGCTGCCCGAGGTGCTGACCCGCTGTTTGGCCCAACACGCGGAACGGATGGAGCAGCGGCGTAACTTCCTCCACCCTGACACCGCGGTGGCAATGGCGACTTCCGGTGGCGGTGGCGGCGGCGGTGGCGGCGGCGGCGGCGGCGGCGGCGGCGGCGGCGGCGGCGGCGGCGGCGGCGGCGGCGGTGGCGTTGGCGGTGGCGGTGGCGGCGGCGGAGGTGCTATCTCGTCGGGGACGAGCCTGGGCGTCTCCGGCGGCAGCACATCCGCACACCACCCTCTCGCCAGTCTTTCCAACTCACCCCTCTTGCCGCACTCGCGTAGTGTACCCAGCGCGCCCAGCACCATGTCCCTCCACCCGTGGCCGGTCAGCCCGGTCCTTCCCCCCGTCTCCAGTCGCACGCCCCACCTGGTGCCGGAAACCGGCAGGCATCATGGCCTCAGCCACTCCGCTACGGTGACCGCTACGACCTCGCAGTCGGCCACCAGGCTCACCTCGCAGGCCGGCATGGGTGGGCTAGGCAACAGCCAAGGCTCGGACACGTCGGCGCACAGCTGAGTCTCGTCTCTGCAGCCGCAGCACTCGTACTAAGGCCCATCCTGAGGTCGGTTTCCGCGTATCACAGACTGTGGTCGGTGCCACCGTCATCGGTGCACGGTTACGATCGGTATATAAGCTATACTGCCGGGATACAATCGCACGGTCGAATACGACGGTCGATCGGCCGGCGGTTTGATTCTTCGCACAAACGAACGTGAAAACTCCCGTTTAGAGCGGTGTTTCCCCCTCCCCCTCTTCTTCCTACGTCAGCCATATTCACGTCTACAGCGGTCCACTTTAACGGAAGTTTGTCTTTAATTTGATCACGTACGTCGCGGTGGTCAGTTTTCGCCGAGAGAAAAAACGGGAGGAAGGAAACGCGGACGCTAATGGGAAAAACAACTTCGACTGTGGAATCCACTTTACGTTCGATTTACCCTTGTTTCTCGTAAGCGGCAACTTATTGTGCATCATACACAGTGGATTCTGCGCACAGATACGCAAATTAGTTCGCGTCGAGCGCATATTCGCGTACAAATTTCCTTGGTATCCTCCTCGCGGTTGACGATTCTTTCAAAATCCACGATAACGAAATCGTCGAAGCCTGTTTTTCTATGTGTGTACTATGGAATACTTTTCTTTTCGTTTACGACCAATGATCCTCGCTTTAGCACGGACCAAAGCCTGTGGAGGTATGATAGTCGGGTGCTACGTGGAGAAGCATTGCTCTAAGTGTGAGTTCCGTGGTGACCAGGTTTGCGATACCGCGGTCTGTTTTTCGTGTGAAACTCGTCTAACGATGGGCCTTCTTGCGTCCTGCGCGTACCTTCGAGTTCCTCCTGAAGTCACGCTCGCAACGAAAATTCAGTCAGGATTTTGTGCGACGTGCGGCACATCGCGCGATTGGGATTGAAAAACCGAGGGACGGGAGAGGGAGGGAGGGCAAGAATTGTCCGAGCGTCACTCTACGTGTGTTCTTGATATAGCTACCATGGGTCACTCGGCGTTCATCTTCCCCGCACGAAACTCCTCAAACATCTGATTCTGTTTCCCACTTCAAAATATGAAGATTTTCTACTTTAAAGAAGCGGGACTAAGAGAAAAGTCGAGGAAAGTGTAATCGATAAACTGTACTTCGAACTGTACGAACGATACTTTGTTCGAAAGGATGAGGAGGTTCACCATCGGAAGTAGCCACTTGTTCGAATCATGTCTCTCGATCTCCCATTCGTGTGAACCCTTTAATCGCCTACTTTGATCAGCCGTTTCCACCTAATCCCTTCCAACCCCCAACCCTTCACTCGCCAATTTCGACGAAAGTACGCATCAATCAAGAGGTTGGGATTTCACACAAGTAGACAATTAAACGGGGTTAAGGGAATTAGAAGTGGCGCAAAATAACGAAGGCAAAAGCGAAGGATCGGCACGTCCTAACCTGGCGAAACGGATCGGACAACCGGACCGACGTTGTCGTTGGATCTATCGATCTATTGACCGATCGGCGGCATAACGGACGAGAAGGAGAGGAACTCTCGAGGTACGCGCGGCTTCTTCCACTGGCTGCGCGCTGCTCCCCTGCCCAACTTGCGTGCCTGAATAACTGTTTTCTTAATAACTAAATGTACATTCGACACAGGAATTCCACCTTGTATCTCTGTATACCTCGTGAAGAGCGCGGACGGGCACAACGTGTGTGTACAAGAAGAGCATGTGCGGACAAGGATTAGCCCGGAGGTGAATCAAGCTGGCTCTTAAAGCCCGTGCGCGATGAAGTTAAACTGTCCTTTCTCCTAGACTCAGAGTATACAAGAGGTCCCCCACTCTAGCTGCTTCGCACTAAGGCCCGTATTCATACCTCACGTTCAGAGCTAAGCGCGACCGTCTGCTTCTCGGTAACTTTCTATAACGACCCTCGCACGAGGTAAGCGAATAACCAAGTGTCATAGATGCATAATTTACAGCCCCTGACGTTTCAGCAACGGAAAGCTGTGTGTACTGGCGATTCTTTTTTACTTCAGTCAATTACACGGTACGCGACGTATATTTGCGATTTTCCAACGAGAGATTCAGGAACAAACGGTCACATTTAATGATGAACATGCGATACCAATACGGACTCGATTCACGGTGATTGTTTTCGACTGCTTTACCTCGCGCCCTCTCGCCCCCCTCCCCCTCCCCTCCTTTTACCGTTTTCCACTTTTCATCATGCCTCTCTCGGCCTATTTATCGGTAAAATGGAAAAATTAACGACGAACATCACACGTTGTGAATCGCATAGTTACATCGGAGAAAATTTTCCCACTTGGACGGCACCTAAAGACGCGCTTTGAGAGCCGGTGCGAACCCGACGGATGTCCGCTAAACGAATAGAGGGAGAATGCAAAGTGATCTTATCCGCTTTAACGTCCGTAGGTTACATAGGATATTATATTGTTAATGTATACTTGTACATGTGGCGCACGGGTATAAAAGCGGCTACGTTTCCATTGAGGGAAAGAGGGAGGGGGAGTTGAAGATTTTTTATAACGGGGCAGCTATCGCGCGAAGAGATAGCGCGGTGTGCGGGGGGGGGGGTAGGCTTAATTAAACGGATCGACCAGACAATGGGAAACTACTTATTTGCCAACGACTTCCCGTTCGGAGGCGTCCACCAGGCTTTTTTGTTCACCGTGTCTCATCACTGAAATATTCTTATGTTCATTCACGGTCACGTAGAAAATGTCCGACGTGTGAAGAAATGCAAGTCTCAGCGGAACAGAAACTTTCCCGCATTAATTATTTTATAATTGTTACTTCGTTACCAGCGCATTTTATTTTTAGATCAGTATTATTTTATATTATTGTTATATACCGTTTTATTTTCAACGTTTAAGCTATAATTCGGAGAAGCCAAGTCTCCCCGGTAGTTTGTCATTCGACTAACAGAAGAAACGTCATTTCGTGAATGAAGAGGCCTGGTGCGTCGAAAGTACAGAGTGTCCCGAAAAGAACCGAATGCGTGGCTAACGATTGATCGACTTCAGACCCGAAGAGCCTGGATGTGCCAGTCCAAGTTGCTCGGTTTCTTCCGGAACACGATGTACATTTGCTATAATTCGCGGCCATAATGCAGCGCGTATGTTCATTCTTTCCGACGCGATTTGTCTCGAAGATGTTCAGATCTCAACGCACCGGCACGACGGTGTTTGTTAGCGCAACCATAACCATATTGGTCGACACACGACAACTGAGATTTTGTCGAGGTTCATCAAGGCGAGCTCGAGCAACTCTGATCCCTTTAGTTAGTGTGAAACTGAACGTGAAAGTTTTCGAACGTGTGTGCGTGCGGAGAACGTTTAGTTTAATTTAGACCTCAACTCACTTCCCGCAAAACAGAAGTGGATCGAGAAGAGACAATTAGCACGTACTCGTTTTATATAAGAATAAAATCGCTTCTTTCCTATGAGAAGATTTTCACTTCGTTCTAAGAACGTCAGAAAATCTCTACTCATTTAGCCGTCTCTAATTTTCCTCGGTGCATTTCGGATTAGTTTTTTAGTGCGTTAGTCTAGCAGATGGATCGTTGGTGTTAGCCTCTCAGCACCGTTATTAACGGCATTCAGTTTATTCGAATTTAATCGATAACTTCGTCGATTGCTATTAAATAATGTTGCAGAAAGGGAAAGATCGGTCGAGCCGCCTTCAGTATCTTCGACCGTTCACAAGAAAAAGCTCACGCGGAAAAAGCTCACAAAAACGCGGATAAAGCTGGGACCTGGTTTGTCTTGTCCGTCATCGTTTCATTTCGAAAGCGTAGTTTCGCGGCTAATCGCAAAGCGAAACGGGACCAAAACAGACACAATTTTCACAACGTTTTTCTCATACTATCCCTTTTTCTGTCTCTCTCTCTCTCTCTCTCTCTCTCTCTTTCACTCTCTCTCTCTCTCTCTCTCTCTCTCTCTCACTCTCTCTCACTCTCTCTCTCTCTCTCACTCTCTCTCTCTCTCTCTCTCTTTTTCTCTTTTCCTTCACTCTCCTCTGTTTCTCACAGTTGGGCAGACTTTTCATCTAACAAAAGGATCTACGCAATGATGAGAGCAAATACTTTGCTAATCTTTATTGAATTGAAAATTCACTCGAAAATAGAGATGTCTTTTTATTCGAAAGTAAGAAGAAGTACTTGTCTCACTTCTTTAAAAAAAAAAAAAAACTTGTGTGTTATTGCAAAATATTTTCTTCATTTTTTATAGTTTGTACTCACGAATAGATTGTACGACGGAAATTTTCTATAGATAGAGACGTTTAGACATATTAGCGTAATAAAAAGGATTCTTACATAGGAATTCTCCTCTTTTTCCATAAGGAAGGCTGTGTTGAGCTTTTAATTGATTTTATAATAATCTTGATCTATTTGACTTGTATCGTTAATATGAAAAATATTCGAGGAATAATTTATTCGCAGATATACAGATAAAAGAGACGAAGAATATATTGAAAAGAAACATTTCTTCTGTAATGAATAGAACGCTTCATCTTCGAGTAGAAAAAGGAAAACAGTCGCTTTTTGTCGCATAGAATAAATTTGCATTCGGAATTCGAATAAAAAAAGTTATCTCGCGCGTGAGGACGGAGATAACTCTTTCATTTATTCGATTTTCTCAGTCGAATGAAATTTTCGATCGAATAATGTCCAACTCGTCCATTTTTTCCCCCTGGTTTCTTTCAATCAATTTTTCCTGTACTTCCTCGGCGTTCCCCTCCCCCCTTTCTTCATCACCCTTCTCGCTATTTTCCGTATTTTACTTTCCCACCACTATTTACATCCTGTTCAAAAAGCATTCCTCTTTCGCGCGCGACTAAACGCACTGGACACGACAACTCTACGATATTTTTATATAGATTTCTTAAAAGTGCATTATGGTGCCAGGAAGACCACGCCAAGTAAAAAAAAAAAAAGAAAAAAACGTAAAAATATAAAACGATTTCAATATTGGATCCTTAGGCGATAGAAACCGATTCTATGATATTGTTAGTACGTAATATAACATGGATATATAGATAATTACCGAATTCTTCGACATAGTGAAGCTACGTGAAGCCACTTTCATGATAAAGGAAAAGAATGGAAAAGGAAGAAGAAACGCAGAGAGAAACGCATTCGTCGCGGATTGCGCTTAGAGCGCAGACCTGAGAACATTGGACCCGTATTTTCCAATTCTTACATTCGTAGATCTATGAAAGTACGGTTGCTTGATACACTTAGGTGGAAATCTTCTCGAAATTTTTACCTGCGGTGAAACACCGAATTCCTAGAACTGAAAATCTTGGCAGTTTTCATTATTACACATGCGCTAGAACTGGAAAGATTTTATGGAACTGGGGATTCACGGAAATTCCAGTTTGCTGATCTACACGATGCGATGAGAACTTGACTGAAGGTGTTTGCCTAGAAGAGTACGGGATTCTTAAAAACTGGAAGTCTTACGTCTTGAGTTTCATGTTTTCGGCTTAGGAGTACATGCGGAACCAAATTGTTAACATTCTGGAAATATTGAACATACTTTGAAACTTTTCAATTCTTGACTCGTAGATTGTCGATTTCATAGACTTGGATTTAATATAAAGACGCAGACACGAAAAGTGGGGCGGTCTCTTTTTTATTCCTTTCACCCGTTTCGCAACGATAATTTGTCCACTAAGATCGCAGACGATCGGTTTAATTTCCAGCGCGATGAGGATTGCACCGATACTTTTTAAGGGCCAACCGCGGCGCGATATTCCACACTAAAAGCGAAAATATTCGAGAAAGAGAGAGAGAGAAAGAGAGAGAGAGAGAGAGAGAGGAGGTCGAGGATCAAAAACGGTGATCGATTGAACTCTTTACGCGCAATTAGCTGACGGTAAAATAAATGAGACGAAAAGCGGAGGAAAAGTTAAAAGTGCGTGCGAGCGCAGCCTCGGGCGAATTTATATGAGCATTACGGTTATTACTATCTATATTCGTTTATTATCATTGTTATTGTTATGATTATTACAATTATTATCGTCACGACGATGAATAACGGTAGCGTTTAAACGGTTTTAACTCTCAAACACTTTACGGAGCTCTTATACCAACATTACTTATACTTAGCGGGCTGTCGCCGTATAACTGTTACGTAAAATGACCAACAATGATTAAAATAATTAACTGTTAATTATTATCTATTAATCTATAGGACGATCTAGCGACCACGTATTAAGGGAATCGTTCTTTTTAACAAGCTCTTTTTCTCTCTCTATCTCAAATTCTACTTCTATCTCTCTTTCGACACCTCGAGAGCGTTCGAAGAACACACATAAGACACACAACGTAACATGCATTGTTGTTATTCACTCGTGCCGTTGATATCGTCATCATCGTCACCACGGTCGTTCGAACAATCTGAAAAATCTTCATAATCTCGTTCTAATCTCATTATAAAACGCCAGTAACTTCGTTCAATCGTTCAATCGTCGCTCGCTCGACATCATCGTCGATTTGGAAGAACCCAAATCGGGAAATGTAAGATTCTGAAAATCGGCTCTTCGAACTTTGGACTTCTAATTTTGGAACTTGTGGACCTTGGCACCGGGAATTTTGAAATTTTGATTCCTCGAGTGAATCGTGTTAGAACT